CTCGTGTAAATAGATTGTTTACGTCAAAACTGATCGTAAAAGAACCTGAGTCTGAAACTTTTAGTTTTGTGGCGAACTGTTTAGAGATTTTGACAAAAGAAGACGATTTAGAGATATAAAGGGCAAACACCTACCCTAGGATATTTCCGAAATTATAGTTACACTTTTCAAAAACACAAACTATAGTACGTAAAGAAGCATTTGGTGTATTAATTTGTCGTAGGCCATATATCTGTGGTTACGAAAACTGAAGGTCCGAAGTGTGACGGATTTGCTATTATATATCTATTTTATTATCATTGTTTGTTTAAGTTAAATTTACATTTAGGAATGTACATAACTTAAACTGTTAAATCTATATTGCGAAATTCCCGCTTATTCACTAAAATGTAGAATATATGTGTGTACATAAACACTAGTGTATCATCAGTATTACAAGAGGTCCCGCGTTCAAATCTCGGACGAGCCCCCCCCCCCCACGAGAGTGGATATTGCTTGTAAATTTGTAAATCTTTTGTACATATATCATTATTTCTAATAACTGTTATTGTAAATTATATTATTGTTTGTATATTAAAACGCATTTGTATTAATAAAGAAACTGTGTGTATACATACGTACAAATTGGCATATATTTAACTACTAAATCTAAATTACAATTTAACTCAGTTTTAGGCTACTTGAAATTGTATTGCGTAACATAAGAAATCTAATAAATTATTTGAAAAAAGTTGGTCATATTTGTTCAACTGTATTAAATTTTTGTTTTAACTACAAATGACATTTATAATAACAAAGGATTCATTCCAAAGCCTTTTGATTTTTACACGACGTTAATATTAATTTACGGAAACTACATCCAAATTTAAGGTGGTCGTCTCACCTTACCTTCTCCTAATAGTATATTAACATTTTCATTGATAGTTAGAAAAATGATATAAAGAATATCTCGCTATTCGATTAAAACGCTTCACTCTTTGCCCTATCATTTGTTTCCTGGTTCAAAATTAAAGACAATTATGCTCCAGTCATAAGTTTCTCTCACATAGCTGATTAGCCCGTTATGTGCATAAGGTATCGTTCAGGTAAACAAGATATCAATTATAATAGCACATTATCCACAATTACGAATTTCCACAATAGTACCTTAGGGTGTGATTGATGGTTAAGGCACAAAACTAATAAATTTGCTCTTTTTGTATCAATTGTATTATGTTTTTGTTTTTTTTTACCGGGCTAGGACTGGACCAGTGATTAGTGTGCTTATACTGTGAATCCAAAGATTTGTGGTTAGCGTACGTTTCCATACTTACAAATACGCAACTCTGCTCTTCGTGGCTTTGAGTTTTCTATAAAAGTGACAATAAACTAGCTATGCGCTCGAAATTTTAAAAACAACTTGTTCGTTAAATAAAAATGCCGAATCTAAATTTGACATGGAAGCTTTCAAAATCAAGTTTATTTTTTAGTAGGTTCCAGAAAGACAAACTTCAACAAAATAAACTTTCTTAGTTTTCAAAACCACATGTGCACACCGCATTTGGTGTTTTAAGTTCAAACAAATTTGAATTATAACTGGTGGTCTTTTAGAATATTTTATGAAATATATCTAATAGCAAAAGAATGCGAAGTTGACTACAACATGTTTTTCTATCTCTAGTTCCAAACATGCATAATTTTCGTTTAAGTTTACCAAATAAGTTTTTAATCATGCAGAGTCTCTCAGTGGCTCAGGGGTAAGTCTGAAGGCTTATAACGCTAAAAATCTGGTCTCAATACCCTGGTAAGCACAACGCAGACAGCCCATTGTGTAGCTTCGAGCTTAACTACAAACTAATAAAAATCGTGCAAATTATCTTTATATTTTATTTTTATGGTGCATTTTGTGAATTTTACTTCAAGTCAAACGAAAGAAAAACAGAACAAAGATGTAAAAAATAAAACATTTAAAGCTTATTGCTTAAAATTTTGACGAATGAATTATAAGCGAAGAAGATGCCTTCGGTCATTTCGTGAACACGAGACGATGATAGGTCCTAGCTTTCATCGCAGTGAAAGATAATCCAACCCAATATTACATCCATGTTCCTAATTACGCATTTAATCAGTTTTTATAACAGATTTTATATTTCCCAGATTGTCGAGTCTGTACATGTTTCGTTACATGTATGGAAAATGTGATTACATCGAATCTCAATATTTAATAAAATAACGGCAATTATATCGGTAATTTCTTTTCAGTCACATTATGGTGTTATGTTAAGAGTAAAAAATAATAACGACGTATTTTGGCTAAATGAAAGATAAAATCTTTATCAGATACTTCAGCCGAGTAGCTTCGGTAACACAGCTACTACACATCATCACTAGCCCTGATGATAGGGCTAGTGTTTGATGATGGTAATTATGTTACTAAAACTAGTTAGCTGTAACAAAGAATAAAGATTTTACCTTTTATTGTGCAAACGAAAACGCCGTTTTTTTTTTTACTCTTAACATACGAGGATGCAATATTTTAATATGCCTTTTAGAGTTATCATTATGATACGCAAATACACTCGTAAATATGGACACACTCAGTACATATCACTCGCTCTGCAATTAATACAAACGTTACTTTTCGTGAATATAAGAAACTTCGAGCACTATTTGATCTGTCTTCTAACTACAGTAATCAACACACCACCACACACACACACACACACAAACGTATTTGTTCTAGAAGGACAGTTTTAAAAAGGATTTTATTGTTAATGAGCTAAAACTTTAGCTTCTAAAAAATTATTTGTTTGTTTTATAGAAATTTAGAAAATAACATACAGAAAAACGCTATCTAATATCTATATTGTCATATAACAATATAAAAGCGATAATTAATTAGTTTGTTGAAAGTTCCAATGCCATCCCTAAAATATTGTTTTTAACCTAATAGTGATAACTTGATTTCTCAAGTTGTTTGGAATTTTTCATGATACGTTTTTCAAAAACAGTGGCTATTTATATTAAATGCAACTTTAAAAAAGCTTTTCAGAACCTCACGTATTTAGTACACTATATTTACCATCCACAGTAATTTAACAGTAATAAATAAAGAGTTTTTAAAAATACTTTTGAAGACTTTATTTTGTGTCATTTATGTACATATATATGAGTGGTAGTCAGAGTTAAAACAAGTAATAAGAGTTCATACATATCGGATTAATGAAGAATAACAAATCGTTTCCCTAATTTGCTTGTCATTACTATCAGGCAAAAAAATTGATTTATTTCGAAAGCTTAGCTTTTAGTTCGTTAACCTGACAGTCTTGGGGTTCTTCTCATTTGAAGTGGAAGTATTCGAACTGCTAGCTGATGACAGTTTACCACCATTTTCACAAAAAAAAAGGTAATCATTCCAGTTTTGTGGGAAGTAATCCTATGGACTCCGAGATGTTAGTTGATGGATCATGTTTTAGGGTTTCTTAAATTTTCTGAGAAGTTCTAGAAAGCTCGAGGTTTCTTAGAAAGAAACTATATAGACTAGTACTACTTAAACAGTGGTGAGAGTTTACTTGCACTTATGAATTCCAGAAACCTACTGTACAAGAACCCTAAGCCCAACATTTTGTGCGAGACACTTTTTTGTCTTTCTCTTATAAAGAGTTATATGAGTAATTGTGTATAATTCTTTAAAATTGTTTAATTATCAAGTATGATTCTATTAACTTCTTTTCCGCCTGAGCATTTAGATTGTATGTATTAACAACTATGACTAAGCCCTTTATTGACTGTGGTCTTTCCTCTATTTCTGAATGTACCATATTCCTTCAAAAATAGTGTTGTTCTAAGGGTCATTATTTTAAATTGTAGTTCTATTTATACATTTCTACCTTGTGCTTCTTACCTACATTTGCATAGCTCATTCTGGTGTGAAAGGACATTTACGAAAGTTTAATGTCACGCAATAAATATTATGGATAATTTGATTAAAAATTGTTTTATCATTTCTACTATAAGTATAAATTATTAAATAAAATTTGCCTACTCAACTTTGTCTTAAATTGATACCAGAAAAAAATGTATATAAAGTTAAATTCCACACACACAAACCTGAAAACTGGAAAAAGTCCCTTTCCAGTAAGGAATCCGAAACGACGTCAGTATCAAAACTCTCCATTTATTTTCTTTCTACAAGCATAAATAGACTTCGCTTATTAAAAGTTTCATAAATACGTAATATCCGAATTATGCACTGTATAAAACAAAAATACATAGACAACGTAAAACACAATGAAGTCACAAACCCAGTACTACCTACGCGTTCAAAGAACTTTTATATTATTTCATACGTTTGTTTGGTTTGTTTTGAATTTCGCGCAAAGCTACACGAGGACTATCTGCGCTAGCCGTCCCTAATTTATCAATGTAAGACTAAAGGGA